GACATATGAGCGCATGCTAATAGCCCCGTCCACGTCCGCGACCACGACCACGCCTGTCATAGTAATGAGGATGGCGTTGGGGATGAGCTAGATCAGTAAATTCTTCTGTGATGTTATTCAAAAAGTCAAGACTGTCGACAATGGCGCGCTCTTCAGCTTGATGACAGTGAGTTAGAGTCTCGAATCGAGCGTCCAGCTGAGTCGACATTCCACTGATCCGTTCATTTTGGTTATGCAGTTCAGAACGAATTTGTGCCATTCTTTCATTTTGATCCCTCATGAATTTTTGCTGTTGTTCCTGCATATTGGTCATAAAATTTCGCTGTTCCAACTGCATCGACTGCATCATTTCTAAAATCTCCGAATTGTTTGACGGTTGTTGAGGAGAAGGTGGGTCTGCAGTGCTTGGTTGATACGGCTGATAGAATTTGCCAAGGGTGGTCCACCCGGTGTATTGCCATTCACCCCAGCCTTGGTTATTCTCCTCATCCTCATTTTCCTGTTGGTTTGAGTAGGCAGACCAGTTATTGTGTTGATTGTCATCTTGATATGTTTGTTGATAGTTTTCAGAAGGCACGTATGGTTGATGACCTTCATTAATATCGTGGTCCAGCTGAGTCTCATCAGCGGTTTCTTGTGCCTCTCCTGCATTGTCACCTTGATTGTCTTCATCTTCACTTGAGCTTCCTTCTGCTTCTTCATCTTCTCCACCCTCTGACTCATCAGCACTTTCTTCACTCGAGGAGGCAGCTGCAGCCATGGTTGAGCGCCGATAAAATCTGTACTTTTTGAGCGACTGATCCCACACATATCCCATCATAGCAAAGACCTTTGAACTGAACTCTTTATCGGAAGAAATTGGAGTATACGGAAAAGACGGGTAATTGATACCTGCAGAGTTTAAAGCTTCCTGAATGAATGAGCCATAGGCGAGCGCGGTGCCTCGCTTGGAGTCTCTTAGTTCATACATCCGGCTTGTAATATAGTACGGCCAGTTAATTTTAATGCCGTGACCTAGTATATGGATGAGATGCACTTCAGCTTGTTCGACTCTTGACAAACCACCTTGTTTAGGCCGCAGAATGCGCGCCACAATCCATTGAAGGATCCTTGGAGATGATCTGAGTTTTCCGGATGTGACGGACCTCGGAAAAGCCGCACTGTTTACAATGTGCTCCGGATAAGGCCTCTTGAGCATATTATTCAGTGCTTTGTTATACTCATAACCTTCAAGAGTTTTAGAATCGGTCACTTCGGCTAGGGGAGGTTCACCATCCTCTACAGACATATCAAAATACTTACTCCAGAATTCAGTATTTACAGTCACTTGAGTTGTTCCAATATGGGAATGAAAGTTTTCTCCGTGAAATTTATCATTCAATTCAGAGTAAAAGACACGCACCAGATCTTCGCTATATTGTACATTGCATTCAACAAATCGTTCAACACCATGATAAGTAAGAAAGTTCATGAACTCACCCAGATGCATGCGTTCAGCAACCAGTTCATAGAAGGCGTGTTGTCGAACCACTTTCCTCTTACCAATGTCTTTGTTAAAGTTTTCCCGACGAGACGGATGAACCAGGGATTCTGCAGTGATTGGCACTGTTCCGGAGGTTGACCCTCTTGATCTCTTTCTTGTAGGTCTAGAGGAAGAAGCCATGGGTATAGTTTTGTGGGTACAAGGAACTCTTTACCAATGTGATGGAGAATGAAGAGTTTTGAGATGAAGGATTTTGAATTTTGAGAAGAAGGAGAGAGATAACCCTTGTTTAATGTAAGGATTAGGGTTTGATTGGAAAATGTGAGGAGATGAAGAGAGTTAGTAGGGGTAGTAGGTGTGGGTTTTTAGTAATGAAGATAAATGCAAGTGTAACTGCCCAAAAAAAAACTGAACCGTCAAGTAATCAGGAAAACTGGGTTTTTGCGCGAGCCGTCGACGGTAGCTTCTGCATGCGTCGACGCATGCTTCAGATTTTTCACCAGATACAAAAGTTAACAGGGTGCGCCGACCGCTGCCCTGTTATGGTCGACTCAATATGCAACAAACAGCAGATTTTTGTATTTTACCATATTCAGAGGTACATGCTATGCAAAAATGATGTCATGACATATAAGAAAAAAAAATATCTATATACATATGCAGTAGATGTCATACAAATTTAGCGTAGTATAAGCGATATGATTTGAGATCAACAGGATTATCAAACAAAGAGAGAGAGAAAGAACAATATCACCTTGATGCCTGATTTGCTTGATACACAACATACTTATACTTACACGAATATCAAATTGTTAGAAGTACAACAGCATGATTATTTGAATGAAATAAGATAACATCAGCAAATATTATTCCCGTTCCGAAATGTCGAGGATGCCAAGTTCTCGGCGGATATGAAAGAAAGGTTCCGTTGCTAGCGGCTTTGTGAAAATGTCCGCTAGTTGGTTTTTAGTGTCAACGTGTTCAAATACAACATCACCTTTCTCAACATGGTCCCTAAGAAAATGGTGTCGAATTTCTATATGTTTAGTGCGAGAGTGTAATACGGGATTTTTGGTAAGGTTAATAGCGCTAGTGTTGTCACATAGGATAGGAATACGTTCAAGTTTAAGATTGAAATCTAGTAGTTGTTGCTTAATCCACAGAATTTGAGCACAACAACTACCAGCGGCAACGTATTCCGCCTCGGCCGTTGATAAAGCAACTGAAACTTGTTTCTTGCTATGCCAACTAACCAAGGAGTTTGAAAACAAATGACATGTACCACTAGTGCTTTTCCTATCCGATTTGCACCCGGCAAAGTCGGAATCGGAGTAACCTACCAACGAGCAATCACTACCCTTAGAATACCACAATCCATACTTCGGGGTACCTGACAGGTATCGAAGAATTCGTTTAACAGCTTTTAGGTGGGATTCTTTGGGACATGATTGGTATCGTGCACACATGCACACACTAAACATAATATCAGGACGTGACGCAGTAAGATAGAGAAGTGAACCAATCATACCTCTATATCGTTTTACCTCTACGTCCTTGCCATTTTCATCTTTATCCAAATTTACGCATGTAGGCATTGGGGTGTCTATGGCCTTGGATTTTGCCATGTCAAATCTCTTGATCAAGTCCAAACAATATTTTGTTTGGCTCACGAATGTCCCTTCTTGGAGTTGTTTAATTTGCAGGCCGAGGAAGTATGTGAGCTCCCCCATCATACTCATCTCGAATTCGCCCTGCATGAGGTCAGAAAACTCTCTCACGAGATTCATGTTAGTGGATCCAAATATAATATCGTCAACATAGATTTGCACCAAAATCAAGTGCTTTCCTTGACGTTTAATGAAGAGTGTAGTGTCAACCTTTCCTCGTGAGTACCCCTGATTAAGTAAAAACTTACTTAGTCGCTCATACCAAGCTCTAGGAGCTTGTTTGAGACCATATAAAGCTCTTTTTAACTTGTAAACATGTTCAGGGTATTCATGAGATTCAAAACCGGGAGGTTGAGACACATATACTTCTTCATTTATGTGACCGTTAAGGAACGCACTTTTAACATCCATTTGAAATAACTTAAAATCCTTTGCACATGCAAAGGCGAGTAAAAGGCGTATAGCCTCGAGTCGGGCAACCGGCGCATAAGTTTCCTCATAGTCGATGCCTTCCTCTTGGTTATACCCTTGAGCGACCAATCTCGCTTTATTACGGGTTATTACCCCGTTTTCGTCCAACTTGTTCCTAAACACCCATCGGGTGCCGATTACTCGATGGCCTCGCGGAGGAGGGACAAGGTCCCATACCTCGTTTCTTTTAAACTGATTTAGTTCCTCTTGCATCGATAAAAACCAGTGCTCATCGAGTAGGGCCTCTTTGGGGTTTTTAGGCTCTATTTGTGAAACGAAAGCGAAGTGATAACAAAAGTTACTTAGCTTAGATCGAGTGGTGACTCCCTTTGTGATGTCTCCGAGAATATTGTCAATTGGATGATCTTTACACGACTTCCAAGCTTGAGGGAGATCATCGTTTGTAGGCGGATGAGCTTCCTCAGTTACCTCATGGTGTGCATCCTTATCCTCCTCAATTTTGACTCTATCGGGTTGATCAATCCCCGTTTCGCCACCTTTGAGTATGTCTTCTGTGGATGTACCTGCACCATGAACAACACTATCCTTTCCGACATTTCTCGGATAGGACTCATCAAACGTAACGTGCACAGACTCTTCAACAGCAAGTAATCTTTTATTATAAATCCTATATGCTTTACTTGATTGCGAGTACCCTAGAAAAATGCCTTCATCGGCTTTTGAATCAAACTTGCCCAAGTTTTCCTTTCCATTGTTTAATACAAAGCACTTGCATCCAAAAACATGAAGGTGAGAAACATTAGGCTTTCGCCCTTTTAAAAGTTCATACGGAGT